ATTTTCAAATACCCCATCACCCAATCTCTCCAGAGATTTGAACGACGATTCTTTTACCCCTTTTTTCCAGTCGGTTCCCCAAAAACCTACCGAAAAAAAGATCAGTCGCAATTGTTAGGGTTACGAAGTGCTCGTCAATTCGTCGGGATTAGACGGGATAAAGCCCTGTTTGGGTACTTCTCGATGTTTAAAAAAAAAAAGAAAAAGAAAAAAAAACAATACTCCATGCTAACCCTACAAAAAAGGAAAAGAATGAAAAAAAAAAACTCGTAATAACGCGACTGAGACAGTAAGATAAAAGAACGAGGAGGGTAAGATTATACTCAAGCAATAATAAAGTTGAAGAATTTTAAGATTTAGCTTTTTTAAGTTTAACGATTGGAAATATTATTTTCTCATGATTGTAACGAAGCAAGCACATTCGACTCGTATGAATTATAAAAACTTAAGTGCGGGCATACAAAAAACAAAGGAAATACGCGAATGCGCTGTGCCCGATAATTTAATGTTTAAAAAAAAATTTTTAAGAGCTAAAGAAGCGCGAGATTGGCGCATTAAGAGGACGCTTAATCGTGAAATGGGAAGTCGTCGACGATTTTGTTCAACGTCCAGTATACAAATACAACAAAAGTCCCGGAAAGGCACGTAAGAAAAAAAAAAATTAAAAAAAATAAAATAAAATAATTCAAAAAAGAAACGACACGTACGCGCAAGGGAACGGAATTGCTCAACAGCTACTTCGTCGGCAAATCAGCGCTGCACACGATGTATCACTAACATCAGGAGACATTGACGCGCGGGCCGACGAAATGTGGCACGAAAGCTTCGTGGAACACGAGACACGAGTATCCGGGGTGTCGCAGAAAAGAGGAAGAAGGAGCAGCCAACATTCGGGCATTCCACGGATGCTCGCGGGATCTGGGACGAGCTCCAGAACCCAGGGCGTCAATGCCGAACGAGGAAATGGTTACGAGGTGCAGATGTACGCCGGCTACGAGAAGTCACGGAGAGTAATGGCACTGCCGACAACCAACTCTCACAAATAAAGAAACTCACACATTTACGCGCGCGTGCCGTCTCGCAGTCTCGCAGGGAGAAAATGCAGTTAACGCGGAAGTTTTGAGATCTTCGAAATATGTTGGCGCGACAGAATCAGAATGCGTGTAACACTCGCGAACGAATTTTTAAACCGTTAAGGCGACGCCGCGCATGCGCTCATGCCTCGTCTCCGCTCTCGGGCGCTTTTATTTCATAAAAAATGTTATTAGGCCGATGGACGTTGCTCCGAGTCTTCGAATCCGCGTGTTGCTTTTTCGCTCAGATGCCAAGAGATAGAGACAGAAAGGCAATCAATCGCTCTTACGTGCGTTTAGTTATCCCTTAATTATATATTTCAATCACTTACACAACGAAGACTCGTTGCAGCTTCGTCGACTGGCACATTTCGATTTTTTTGGATTTCTTTTCTTACATGCACTGCTAATCATAATGTCGTTATTTTACGATATCTTAAAATTAATGTTATTTGCAAGGAATTGGTCGAATTTTTTACTCCGAAGCAAAAAATAGAACAATGGCGTCATTAGTACAGCAGTTCGTTACATCTTTATTTTTCTTTTAAAATTTATTGTACTGTTTATGGATAGCGTTCCTACATTATCTAGAAATCGTCCAATGCTGCGCGCCAAGTGTGCGCTCTTTTCTCAAATGGCAATACAAAATAATATTTCGTTATGCCAATATTAAAGCCACAATATCAAGGTTCTTTTCAATTTATAATATAAGAAGTCTCTTCTATCTACAGAAATTCCAATGATAATAATAACATTTACTCGTTTGATAACTTGTTCGAAAAATTAAACGAAGGATTATAAAACTGTAGTTTTGCATAGAATAAAAAAGGAAGAAACAATATGATTTACGATGCAAATACTACTACAGGCACAACAGTCATTGTAAAAATAGTCATAATGAATTGTTAAATTAAATATTGAAAGTGTAAAGAAAAAAAAAAAAAAAAAAAAAAAAAAAAAGAGAGAGAAAAAGTTCACTTTATCACTTAAGATGTGCATTTATTGTATTTTCTTTATCTTTGCAAATATGAAACTTTGCATATAATTAGGACACTTGCAATGAATAGTTTTTTCATGATGTAGATATTAAGACTTCGTTACTTAAGGTGACAACAAAGTCTAAAAATTAAAATTTCAAACATATGAATGTGAAATTTCAAATATATAAAATATGCAATTTGCAGATGAATAAAATAATATAATCTTACGAACGTGCGAATCGACAAGGAATTATAATCATCAATTAACGATTATTCGAATCAATTAAGCTCAAGTGACAATATTTAAACATCCATAGATCTAATGACGACATCCGATAGGCAGAAATATTTATAATGAAAGATACATAATTAATACAAAAGTAATTTAATTTTGTTAAGAGCAAATGTTGAATTTATACGAGGCAACTTCACACACGCTCTCACACGTAGTGCTATCATTATAAGCAAACAGAGTTGGAATAAAAATTACGGCAATAAAGCAATAAAGTTAATATATAGGCGAACGCTAAAAGTACGTAAAAGCACGTTCAAATTTCGCGTATAATTTATTGAAGATTTGAGCACATTCATTCTGTATGGAATATTATAGGAAAACGACGAGATTTAGTGGGTTCGAAATTTCGCAGTGAAAAAGATTCGCTATAAATTCCGAAATTTCGAGTGTACCTCGAAGGGATACGTACGTACATGCACAGATTATATGCCTATACGCCTATAAGAAATATGATAAATAATACAATGTATAAGGTAATGTACGACGTACGGGGTGGGAGGGAGGGAGGGAGGGAGGGAGGAGGAGGAGGAGATATATAATATAAGGGCGGTTCTAACACTAATCATGTGTATGATGTCATTAATAACAGACGCGACAGGGCAAAGCGAGGGGGACGTGGAAAGAAGCTCGAAAATTTTGTCTGATTTTTTATTCCCTTCGTTTGTTAGTAACAAAGTACGATGCACTTTGCTACAAAGTCGCTAGTACTTTCCTTGACAATGCGCAAGTGAAAGTACGCCTCTTTCTCACTTTTTTCGCCGGTGATGAAGTGGCCGATCGAGGAGCACGCACAAAGTACGGCACATGCGCAACTCGACACATCGCTTTCCTCTCGACTCTCGAACGGCACATCTTCATCATAAAAGAATGCCCGATGCTTTATTACCTGTGAGCTGGAGTACCTGGAAAATATTAAAGAAAATATTTTCTTCTGTAAGAGCATTAGAGAAACGGTCTATTAGAGCGAGAGAGTACGATGCATTTTTTCCTTACAAATCTTCACTAATAAGCCCATACAGCAATACATGGTACTTGCCAAATATGCTTTAAAAAACATATTCTACCATATACGCGTTACTAGCACTAGTGCTCTTCAGAAACTCGAACATTCTTTGATAATCGTTCTATAAACAATAAATAATAAAATAATAATAATAATAATAATTGAATAACAGAGGCACAGTATTTTTTAAACAGTATTACAAATTTATATTTTAAATACACACGTCCTTGGACAAATTCTATTTTCACAACAGATTCTTTACTAATATTTATAATGATATATCCACTTCTAATATTCTTTTAATATTTTATCAAAATGTTTATCTAAGTTTTCAAATAGAAACATAGTTTTGTAATTTTATTATTCATACAATTTTTTATTTATAAATGATATTTAAAGTAGATATAATGAGATGATGAGGTGTAATTAAAGTAACACAAAGAGTAAATATGTACAAATGAAAATTTAATGATGGGCTATTAAATTGTAACGTAGTGTGTAAAATTACTACGTCTATACTAAAAGAATTATTGTAAACAAATTAATTTTATTTGTTAACAACATAATCTAGTATAAATATTCTATATAATTATATGAGAACACAAGTATACGTATGATATTTATAATATAGATAATAATACTCCAGTTATCTATTCTAATTGAAATGCAAAAAATAATAGAAATGTTAAATAATGATCATAAATATAATAATTTGATTCACATATTTATTTATATGTTGAATTTTATATTTTAAAACATTTACTTTTTGTGAATTTTTTTTTTCACAATGTACTTTTTAAAAAAGTACAATGAATTCAATAAGCAATTTTTCAAGAAAGTACATGGATATTTTACAGTTAGTATATAAAACATATAATTCACACGTACAAAATATAGTTTTTGCCATTAAAAAAAAAAAAAAAAAAAAAAAAAAATTCATTGAAAAATAAGTATAGCGTTATTATTAAATAATTAGTAAATAATTAAGTCTTAAGTTACTATAAATAAGATTTCAGTTAATTTCTAAAACAATTATACAAGTCTTTTTGATATAAAATACAATCATATGAATTTAGAGAGCTCATGAAATCGAAGATCAAGGCTTCTAAAATTGGTAAAAAAAAAACGAAAATTTAATTAAGATAAAGTGAGATTAATTAAGAATTTGTTGCTTTTTTTAAGATTTTCAAGCTTTAAGCACGTAAAATGATTGAAGATAAGATTATCGTAATTGAAACTTATTAAAATGTATATTTTTGTTTGGTGCGCGGGCCATTAAACACACATACATTAATAATGTAAATTCTTTCTGGCAAATGTCTATGATGTTATCTCTGTATATCATTAAAAACAATTTCAATGCCACTTAATTTTCATTAGAAGAGCATTTAAATGAACGAATTCGCAATGAAGTTAGAAACAGCAACGTCAAATTCACCTCTTCCGTTTTTAATCTTCTCTTTACGATCGGTCATACTTAACAATATTAATGCTTGTTAATAAGGTGGTAATAGATGAAAGATCTATTGACGCGGGTGTAATAATGTAAAATGTCCTCTACGTGAATAATATTCGCTCATAATGTATTGTTTCGATTGTTCAGGTCTGGGAAATTTCGGCGTGGGTCTCGTCACAATCGCTTCAATCATTTGTGCAGCCACCGTTTATCTAGCCGTCGATGCCTGTCAAAAAATTTATCATCAGAAGGAGACGACGTCATTCAAAATCAATGCCAGCACCGTCTTATCCGTTTATCCAATCGCGAGCTTCTGCAGCCTCATGGCCCTCGCACTTCCAAGGTAATTACGCGAATTAGCGGCAGCGTTCGAGCAAATGCACCGAAAGATAAAATTGGAAAGCTCGGGAATAAATTTTCACGCTCTCCATACTCGTCTCTCTTTCTTCTCATTCGCCTTGGCGCAAACACTTTTACAAAAGCCCACGCTTCCTTATGTTATCGATTGAAGGAAATAAGCTGAACCCCCCCCCCCCCCTCACAACTGTAACTCTTCGGATATCAGTCTCATAGGATAAGATCTGAGTAGATGCCAACACCAACTGTTGATCTCCGTCTTAGAGACATTACATTTTTACAATTTTCCTGACTTGTAGCGTAAAAATAACTATTATGCCGATATGACTAGTCAAGCGATCGATTTACTCAATACTAAGAAAAAATTTTAAAAATTCACCGCAAACATACGATCGTAAGCGCTTTTATTATATAAGAGAGCTACGTTATCTTACGGATAATCTTTAAATTCAAAATCCGCTTATAAATAGTAATCGTTGAAAGTAGTTTTAAAGGAATCGTTCAATTATATCTATAATTAGAAATTTATGCAAACGAGAGATTATGTATTACGGTTGTTTAGATTTAGAAATGTATGGACAGGTGAATTTACAAGTATGTTGTTTCCATTTACCTTCACGGTCCTCCACAAACCTTATCATGATTTTAATTTAATTTTAATAAAAATTTTTTATCCTTTATATATTTTTGATATTTCGAGTAATAGCTATGGGTCTTGTATAACTTTACAATAATAAAAAAATAACATTATCAAAGGAATTCTCAAGTAGTTTTAACTTATATTATCAAGTTTGCAGTAGAAAAATCCTAATCGTTACAAATTTCGATTACAGATTTCGATTATCAGCGTTTATTATGATATTTTTATGCTCCATATATATCATAAAATGTTCGAATTACAAGCCAACATAACAAATCTTAAATCATCCCTTAAACATCCATTTACATCTTTTATGGGATGAGTGACAATATCAAATAAACTATACACTCAAGCCCAATGAAGAGTCTTATTTTTATTTAAAAGAAAAATCAAAGTTGATGCTTATATTTTGATACTTATCCCCATATATAATCATTAGATAAATAATTATTAGATAATCATTATCAATTTTCAATTGGAAAATAAATAAAGTAAATACACGAAGTGACTTAAATGTTAAATACCCCACCCCCAGAAAAAAAGTTGTAAAGATCTTGAAGTCGTTAATTACCGATAACGGGCCTTAATATTAATGCGATCGTGAAGCAAAAAGATAAGATAAACTACAAGAAGAGTTCAAATAGTTGTAGTTTCATGGATTCGGGTATGAGAATGTCCCATGAAAACAAAAAAAAAAAAAAAAAAAAAAAAAAAAAAAAACAGTAGGCGTTTACATAAATAAAACAGGTATAATAAGAAAAAGATTCAAGGAATTTGTATTCTAAAAAAAAATATATGAAGTCATGGTAGAATAAATAAGTAGTAAGAAAACTAAAAAAGATATGTACAAGTGAAATGAAGCGCGTGAATGAGGAAGTACAGGATAGAAATAATTCTATAAATAAATCGTTCTGTAAGAGTAATTTTAATACGTAATAATAAATATTTAATCTACCAAATTGATCGATTAATTAAATTACGAAGTTTTATTTCGACGAGTGAAAGAGCCACACGTACAATCAATTATCACCATAAAATGTACTACAATTACACTTGAATTGAACATTATGAAACGCAAATTTATAAAACTTCTGGAACATTAAACAATTATATACAAGAGCAATTATCCTTTTTTTGTTTGTTTTTGTTTTTATGATTATAAAAATGATAGATTGAAAACGATAAATTTTAATAAAAGGCAATTATTTACTCTTGAAGTTTGGATATTTTAATATATTTCTAATTATACAAATATTGAATTTTCATGTACCATAATTTACTATTAATTTATAAATGAATCACGATATGTATGACAAAATTTTTTTTTCGTGCAATAAGTATTGTATTCAATGACATGATAACGATATAGAAAAATGAAATGTATAATTTTTTAACCAATTTTTTTATTTTGTTCATTTTATAATATATTCATTTTAATTATGTACAATTGAGATTTCCTAATTTTATGCATTACATCAGCTTGAAAATTTTTGCTCGTAGCCAGTACGTGAAATGGAAGCGTTTTAATGAATCACTGAGGATTTTGTTAAATTGAGTTATGTAAATTTGGTCCATTAGGTCAGGATCGTTTTACAAAAATCCAATATAAACTAGAGACACTTTTAAAATTCACGCACACGAATGTTCGGTTTCTCTTATTTCAATCTTACATTGGATCACCAATTATTTGTTATACAATATACAGTTATATCAATACAATCGTGCAAACCCTAATGTTTTCGTTGCATAGAATACTAAAGCATGAAAACGTTAAGTACTGCTGTATTTTTGAAAAACCTTCCCTTTGCCCTTTAAATGAAGGTGTAAAATTCATTAAAATTCATTAAAATCTTCTCCCCCCCCCTATCTCTCTCTCTCTCTCTCTCTCTCTCTCTCTCTCTCTCTCTCTCTCTCTCTCTCAAACTCCCTCCCCCCCCCCCTCTCTCTCTCTCTCTCTCTCTCTCTCTCTCTCTCTCTCTCTCTCTCTCTCTCTCTCTATGTATATCTTAACAAATATGCACGCTGTCTCATTTCTATTTCAATTGAAAACAATGGTTATCCTCATTTAAAGTCGAGAAGTTTTTTGTATATACAAATTTTCATTGAAAGTAGTTGCTTAAACTGTATTTCATTCCCAGAGTTTTGACTTATACAAGAGATGCCATTGGTACGAATATATTCAGTTGATTCATATCAATGTTTTAATTAATTAGAAATTTCTTTACAATTTGTCATTGTTTCTTATCAATTAATCTTCGTGTAGAATAAAATTATAACGAGGAGCTATTAAAGTATAAAGTAATTCAAAGTTTTTCAAAGCCATGCTTTTAGACGTAAATATAAAATATGTCAAATATCCTTCCGTGATGTATTCGATATTTTCGAATACAGAAGATCATAGCTTAAAGTGCTGCAATTTCAAATCAAGATATTTATAAAAATTATACTCCATACTACTATTCGTCTCTTCGTTTACTCTTTTTATTAAAACCATATATAGACTATAGATTTCATTAAAAAATAATTTGCACCAAAGATAGACGATATAAGAACAAAATTTAAAGAGATAAAAAATTTAAATTTGTTATTTATAAAATTACAAATATCATTGATAGAGTTAAGAAAATATATTAATAAACGTTCATAAATGGAATAAGGAAAGCCTAAAAGCTTATAGTTTGAATGTGTTTGTATATTATTGGACTTTTTTTTCTCCTATTTCCAGAATTCGTAAGGTAACCAAAGTAATATAATAATAATAATAATAATAATAATAATAATAATAATAATAATAATAATGATAATAATAATAATAAATACAAGAATAGGCATCGGACTCCTGTCGTTTTTCGTGTTTATTGAGCGCCAGTCGACGGATTCGAATATTTTCGAAATAGCCATTTTGCTGATTTTCGTGATTTCTGGAAAGCATCATACTTACCACCATAGATCCGAAAATCCGTTTCAACGGAATTGGAAAATGCGATACTTGTTACGCAACAGTGTGAGGCGAGAGAGTTTAAAGGGGATCTTAACAAGACTAAAGGGTTGAATGTGTGCCACTCAGGTCGCAGCTGCTGGCCGAGGCTCTAATCCAGGTTTCACTCACCCTCTCGTTCTATCGGCTATTCAAGTTGCTTGTCGAGGTGGGACGACGCAAGGCCTCGATAGTGCCCGGATTGATGCTCAGAGTCGGTCCCTGCTGCTGCTGGCCCTGCCTCCCGCTGCCGAGCCTCGAGATGTCCGAGGCCAATTTGTTCTGGCTGCGCCTCGCCGTACTCCAGTTTCCCATTGTCCAGGTGGGTTTCGCTTTGATTTAACTCCTACCGAGCCTCTGTTGCCTCTCCCTCTCGTGCGCCGTTGTCGCGCGTGTCTCCGCGTGCGTAGCGCCCAGTCGAAACCGGAGAAGTTCGAGCAGAGCCATTGATTTTCACTCGTTTCGTAATAAAGAAATAATTTTTTCGACTGTTGCACGAGAAGGGCAACTAGATAAAATAGACAAGAGGAGTAGTTGGACGGATGAATATATTTCTCTATTGTCCGAGAAGTCAACCTCGAAGATTCTTTTCATTATTGTAACTTATACTTCTTCTTTTTTTCTTCCCCGCCCCGCAGCAAGCAAGGAAAAGGCTTAATTTCGTTTTTTAATGTGTTAGACTGTTGCATAATTCAATTAAAATTGAATTTACATAGACGTTTCATTGCGGCCAAAGAAACAATTCTTTTTCATATTACCAACTTTTATTATGATAATTCCGTAATAGTAATAATAATACCTTTAAGTAATTTTATATTTTTAAACGTTCACTTACTCACTTGATTATCAAAAAATCATTGTAAATAATATATTTTTTTTTGTTTTTGTTTTTTATTTTTCTTATTTTTTTTTTTTTTTTCACTTAATTTAGACTTTTTAACATAATTAATTACATGCATTTTTCAATTAATCAAAAAAAATGTAATTCATACTTAATATGATTATGATTTTTCTTAATTATTTAAATACAAAATTTCAATATAACTGATTGGACGTCAAAGATTTAAAAAATTTAAGAATACCAATCATTTGATATTTAGCCATTATAATTTCATCTTGCAAAATTATAACTCAAAAAATAAATTTGAACCTGTGAACTAATCTTACTTGCGTTGCCCTTTTAAATCACGAAAATTACGCTCAATACTTGAATACAATAAAACTCTGATAATTATAGATCTTTTACAATTATATATGTAATGATTAAATTAACTAAATTATTTATAATACTTAAAATTACATTACCATATAAAATCAATGGCTCATGGACTACGAGAATTGAATATTTTCACGAATGTTTGCGATGGTTTGGATTGTCGATGAATTCCAAGAGATTAAGATAAATGTGATATTTGAAAAGCAAATATTTCGTAAATTAACAATTTTTGACTGTTTAAATAGATTAATATTAGGTTTGATAATATAATACTCTGCAATATTTCTTTTTTTTTCTTTTCTTTTTTCTTTTTATTGATTAATTTATTAATTATGGATTAACATACGCAAAACAAAACATAACCAATTCATAATATCGTATTATATATTTTCTAAAATTTTGAGGAAATGTATATTATGTATCGAATAAAAATTATAATGCATCTCTTACAATTTATCATAAATCAATATTGTAAAATGTTTCTCCACACAATTCCAATCTTATAAACTTGATTTCTTATTGGTTATTAAAATATACTATGATATATTTTTATTAAATTCACGATCTCTCTAATTTTCATAAAAAAGAAATTATAATTTAGAAATGTATATTAAACGTAATTGTGTAAAGATATGAGAAAAATATTAATCGCTACGACTTTTACTTCATCTACGCAGCTATTTTTATCAAACTTACTTTATAATTAATGCTTAGGTACTCAATTACAAATTTTAATTTAGAAGAAAATTGAATAGCGGGTAGTTATACCGATAATTGTAACAAATATTGTTGATACTTTGTCCATGTAATATAATGAATCGAACTTTATGAAATAAATGTTAGGAATAAACGAAACTCAATACATTTAATATTATTGGTGGTTTAATTTTTTGCCTGTTCTTGCATGCATTTCTAGATAAAGTAAAGTAATAAATACATTTATTGCACTCCCGCTAATTATTTCTTAGTACTTCCACTATAAAATATTAAAAGATACTATCAATAAAAAGTTGAAATATCCATATAATAATGAAAAGTATTTTTCTAAATTTGTGTGCATATTGCTGTAATTAGACTTTCATTGTACATCAAGTCTAGTATTCGAGAAGAATAAGTATAATAATAATAAAATAATAAGAATAAGAATAATACAAAAAATATAATACCGAAAAGATCAAACAAACAAAAATGTTATTACAGGCAATCACACTATTTTGAATATTTTTGTGTCTCGGCACTTAACGTTCGCTAACTTTCAAAGATTTTTGGTTTTAAAAAATTACCACTTGACTAGAGAGCATCGTCGATGTATGTCGAAGAATTTACGTAGAGAGTCGTCGTCATTCCTGGCTGTAATATATATATATATATATATATATATATTTTTTTTTTTTTGGAAAGTCCCTAAGCTAGAATGGAACAGTGCTCAGGGAAGAGGATGTGAGAATGGAAAGAGCGACGAAATTTTTCAGTCTTCTTGTAAAAGAAGAAAGGGTCGGTGTCATTTTTTTCTCTGCCCTGTTCATTGGCGCGATGTTGTCCGCTACATTTTGGTCACTTGTTTCTGCGTACTGAGTCAGCTAAATCTTGAAGGAAACGAGAGTGTTATTCGACAATTTTCCCATCTCTCTCCTTTCCTCCACTCTTCTACTTTTTGCCCTTCGCAGAAGAGGCAATTTGATGACAGTAAATTATAGTTAGCTAAATGTTGTTCGTTTTTTAATATAATAATCCGATAAGCCATAGGTGATAAATCGATTTTGCCGAATAACACCGTGGATTTGGAACATTTTTATTTTTATTTTGAAAAACGAGACAAATGTCCGTTCGTGATGCAATAAATCATTCATAACAAAAACGAACAATGACGCCCAAAGTAACGAAGGTGTGGAATTTGATCATGAATCTTGATTGTTTCATTTATCACAATTAAAGCATATTTATGGCTACATATATAGATTTTTTTTTTTCTTCAAATTAAATACGCTTGTTTAAGTTGTACGAATAAATTATGGTTTATCTATCTATTTATTTTAAAAAAATTGCACAAACATAATAAGCGTAATATAGCGTATTCTTATAATTTATTCAATTTACTTATCTTTTTGACAGCGAAATAAATGCGAAATTATCATAAAAATAATTTTATCAAATAAAAGCATAACTATATCAACAAAAGTCTCCAGAACTTGATGTCATTGATTATAATGCTTACTAATGTGTTATATCGCCAGTGAAATATGTAACAAGAAATTAGGGGGAAAAATGCAATATTAGAAAAAATATTTTTGAATCGATATATCTTTTGTAAGTATGTATTTATGGCTACATATATAGATACAAAAAAAAACAAAAAAAAAAAAAAACAAAAAAAAAACTAATGTTTTGGTATTTTTTTGTCAATGTAAAAAGTAATATTTCCTTTAAACATTGTTAAATAAAATTCTAATGAAATAAAATTAATTATTAAGAACCGAATACTATTATATGATAAAATAAAAGACTCATATTACTTAGTTTTTCGTTTCATTAAAGCGATATTGCATTAAAAATTTGTTGCTTAATTGCACGAAGCGCAGACATAAATTTAAGAGCCCGTGTAAAGCAAAAAAAAATTCGAAAATTAACGGTTGCGCTTATGTGCTAACAAAGGAGAAGAAACTGCTCTGTGTAAACAAAATTTTTGAGAAAGTTTTATCTATTAATTTTGGAGAGTTAAAGCTGATGCAATAACCTCCAACGCTAAATGATCCGTAACATTACTTGTTCTTTCGTCAAAAGGGAAAAGAGGGAGAGGAGGAGAGCGAGAGAGCGAGAGAGCGAGAGATAGAGAGAGAGAGAGCTTATAAAAAAAAAAAATTCAACTTTCACTATGTAAAGATAGCGTTCCTCTCTCTCTCTCTCTCTCTCTCTCTCTCTCTCTCTCCGACTCACTCACTGTTAACCGCGGTAAGATGAAAGTAAACAATCGCACTTTTTGTTTAAAGAGTTACAGTGCACAATTTGTCATTGTTCGTTGAGTGATTCGGCAGAATAAAATCGTAGGTAGCGCGCTATCCCCGCTCACCGGTTATTCTAAAACTAGCAAATTTTTCGGGATAGCCTTAAGCCGATTAGTCGTGAAATCCTAAACTAACGAAGCAATATCTCGCCCACAGGGACTCGTTTACTGCATTTTTCTCTTCATGTCCGCGGAGGCGCCAATTTTCGCCACCACCTACGGCGTCTTTCTCCAGCCTCTCGTCATCATTAGCATACTCCTTGGGATCTACGGCCTCACCGTCGTAACCAAGAGTCTGCAAGATATCGATCCAGGTACGTATGGGTGGCCGCAATCCAATTTGCAATTAATTCTAGGTTAACCGCACTCGAATGTGGATTGGAGAAAGTTGCACTGACGATGATAATATTGATGCTTATTCTTATCATCTTTCCACTAATACGTACTTCCACATTCATGCAATTTAATTAGCGGAACGACTACCTAATCTTTATTTTCAAGTGTAAATTTCATCTTTTTTCTTTTCTTTCATTCTTTCATTCGAAAATCACTACCACATACTGATTAATTGATTTCCATTGCCTTATTAATGCAAGTCATTGAAGTTGATATTTTATATGCATAAATGTTTTGCGTTTTTCGTTCTTCTTTTCTCCATTGGCTTTTCTCTCTCTCTCTCTCTCTCTCTCTCTCTCTCTCTTTCTTTTAATTAATTTAATGTTATTAAAGTGACAGATATCTCGTAACTATTTTCAATGTCGCTTTACCAATTGCCTCTTTATTATAATCTAATGTTTTCATTTATAATTATGTATTTGTACCGAGCGTTCTTCTAACGATACGGTGCACACGACTTGCATGTTTTCGCTAAACCGAATGAAAATTCCTATATAATGACATGTAAATTAAAAGAATTAACGATTTGAGAGTCGTGAAAGATGTTAAATAAGTTTAATACAGTATTTTATAATTTCTTCCGTCTATACCTTCGATTTAACAACTGACGACTCATTTTAAAACAATTTGTCGAGTAAAGTATTGCGCAATCGTTGTGGCTACGAGTTTTCAAGGCGGACCGCCGACCACTAATGCCTTGTAATCTCGTTATATTATGCCGTTTCCCGTAATAGTTGCCAATAAAGGGAAAATTGCCGACTGGAAGGAAACGCCTTGATGAATAGGAGGCCCCACCATACTCAAAAATTGTCAGGACGCGCTGTCCGTCATTATTTGAATGGTATTCGAGATAATCGAATGTAGGATGATGAGTATGCATATTTATTCATTGTATACTTCCATGGACGGGATCCTCAATTTCTCAAACGGTCTACGTCTAATTACTTAACGATAATACATCTAAAAGTATCCGGAGCATCTGCCATGGGAATTCCACGTTAAAATATATTCCTCGCTCATTATTCCATTACAAATGAAGTTAAGTGTGCACATGAAATTTCGGATAAATTTTATGACAAACGAAAGAATTTCTTCGGTTATTTTGTTGGCGAAAACAACCGATAACAAGCGAAAACAGATATTTTTCATGATTTCATAATTATCAGGACATTTTAATACATAGATTTATCGTCGACGAAAATCGATGCTTGATTATTTTTGTGAATATAATTTTTTTTTTTTTTTGCATCAGCAGCAGCAATACAATTGATTACAGATATTAAAGTAATGTTAATTACAACATTATTACATTAAATTATAAATTAATAAATAGATAGCCAGACGAGAGGCTTTTCTCAATAATGAAATAATTGAATTTTTTTTTATAAACAATTGCGCTTTACCATAAAATAAATATGCAAACTTATTCATTTACGGATTAATAATACATGTATAATATGAAAATCAATAACCTTGTAAATATAATAGTGTGAATAAAAAATTTGCCGTAATTTGTCGTAAGTACCGCAACGCAATGAATCAGCATCTTTTTATAAAATATTAAAAAGAAGAAAGTTTTATTGTTTCTATGACAAATCTAGCATAATTAATAAAATGAACTCGACGTAACGTATTTCAATATGAAATAAAAAGATGTAGAGTGACTTATTAGTAAAAATATTAATGCTTTAAGGAATTTTAAGGAATTTAAGTATCTCTAACTGAAACCATTACGAGGGAGAAATTTTTTTTTTTTGTTTTTTTTTTGTTTTTTGTTTTTGTTTTGTTTTGTTTTTTCAAAGAATTTCACGTATGTCAGTTAGTTTGGAAGAATAATGATACTCAAAGGAAAGAAAAGAACATTAAACGCTCCTTAATTTTGTACATATTATCACAAAAATACGCATACGGTAAATACATCGATATCGATTTGTCCGTGGCAAGTAACGTAAAAAGGGAAAGAAGGATAGCTAGCTGGACGATTCACTTAAAGAATTTAATAATTTTTGACAAACACACACGAAAATTTCCTCGATAGGCATTGCGTCGTTGCACATATTTGCGTAAATTCCACCGTACAACTGATAATTTTATAATTAACTGCCTTTCGTGAGCTGCGAGTAACACTAAAATTTGCCAAGTGTACCGACAGATGCGAGACGCATTTCTCTTCGCTTCTTCCTCTCGATGAAAATTAAAAATAATGGACCTCGTGTATGTTCGTACATGCAAAACCGAGCACGAACGCCCAAAAGGAATTGAAAAATTTTAATCCGCAGCCCGCGACACACTCGAGTCGATCGCGTGAGAGGGAACATCGCGGACGGCGGACGAGACCACACGCGAGGCAATTTTTCGTGCGCGAGATACTCTGGTAGCGTGGTGGGCGGGTGGGTGGATGAAGGGGGGGGGCGAACGAACGGGAAGGGGATGGCAATTGGGATTGGGTACATTTGAGGTGTGT